GGTATACTTCATTTACTTTCTCTAGCGATGTGCTCCTTCCAATGTCCTGGATGCGCGCTGGCAAAATCGTAGGTAGGGAGAAAAAAGCTTATTATACTCTCGACTCTTGTTAATTAAACATACTTTTTCGTACAGCACCTTTCAAAAGTTTTGTTCAATCATGAACAGTAGTGCGAATCGAAAACAAGTGTTAAAGCTTTTAATATGTCTTCAAATATAAATAACATCTCGTTGATATTTTTAGTAGTAAATGGTACCAATAACAGCACATTTGAGCAATGTAATTGTAGTGGATAAAATGGTCAATTTTTCCGTGTAGTACTGTACGGATTATACGCTTCTCACCGGTTAAGAGTTTGGCCGAGAGTTGTCTCTTTCCTTTTCTGGCCTAGTGCTGTTTTTTTCTACTTTGCGCTGGTCAAACTGAAAGTCACATCGCTACAGAAAGTAAACGAAGTATACCTACATATTATTCATACTATGTTCATGACGCCAACATAATCCTTCACTAATACCGCAATACATCCGTTTGTATTTGTCAGGTATTAAGTAGTTTATAGATAAAGTGTTTATTGTTTATGATTACTTCCTCAAAGTATTAAACATTAAACTGTATTTTATTGCGAAGTAATTTTGATCTTTCGATAAAATTTATCAAACGAGGCCTCAAATTTTTGTGAGACAATTCGCTAAGTAGGTACTCAAACACCAATTGAGATATGGTAATAAATAATATGCAGTATTTACAGTGTACTTTTACTATATTAACTAACTAGATATTACCCACGGCTTAGCTCGCATTGATGTCTTAAATAAGTGTCAAAATCATCGACAACTACATAAAACTAACTCCTCTATTCCTCGGGAACAGCATTTTTTTTTTATAAAAGGTACCCTGTGTCATCTTCTGTACCTATGACAATGGTTCTACAGAATTTTATGATGATAGATCGAGTAGTTAAGGCGCGAAAAGTCGACAAACAAACACATTTACATTCATAATATTAGCAAGCATGACGTTTACCCAGGTTATATTAAGAAAACGCATATAACATTTATTTACTAATTAACACATTGTATCGCATCCTACACCATCAATTAATTTTAACACATTTTCACTTTTGATTTATTATCATAAGGTCGTCATTGGACATACACCTCCACTCTTTCCTATCCTGAGCTAATCTTTGCATTTCCCCAAAACTAGAACAACCCACATCCTTAACTATTTGCGAACAGTAATTTAATCTAAGTCTACCTCTATTCCTGCTAACTCCCGTTTCTGCCTCTAATATGTCTCTGAGAGTCTAGACCTTCATGCCCGAAAAGGTGTCCTACCAACCTGTGTCGCTTATTTCTTTTTGACTTTCATAGAGTCCTCTGTTGTCTTATTCTTCCTAATACCCTCTATTCTTCTAGTCTTTCCAATACCTCTTCATTTCTAACCTTCCCTATCCACGGTATTCTCATCATTCGCCGATAACTCCACATTTCGAATGTTTGTACCCTTTTCTTTTCCGTCGAGCGCACCGTTCACGTTTCACACCGGTACAGCACCGCGTTTTAAACATACACCTTTAACAATCTTGTTCGAATTTCTAAATTAATCGTTCGTGAGAACAGAAGTGACTTCTTTTTATTGAAGGTGACTCGACCCTGTCCTATCCTCTACTACTCCTTCCGTCCTGACTTCCTAGATACCTAAAATCAACTACTTCTTGTAATCTTTCGTCCCCTATCTTTATATTCGCTTTTCCCTACTTTTTCTTCCCTTGCATACTAGTATTTTTGTTTTACTTTTATTTATTTTCTGACAATGATGTTTTGTCAATACCGCTTCCGTTTTATTTAAAGCTATCTCTAACTCCTCCTTGCTAAATGCTAATACTGCTGTATCATCTGCAAATCCAAGCTTTCTAATATTTTGCCCCTGTATATCTGTCTTTAATAATGCTGATTGCGTCTTCGATGTATAGTTTAAAAATTAGCGGTAACCGTGTGCATCCTTGTCTGATTCTCTTCCTAATATTTACTTCTCTACGTTGCTACTCCAGCTCTACAACTACCTGTTTCTCTTTATGTAAACTAAATATCACTCGTCTATCGCTGTAACTCATCCCTACATTTTTAAGTATATTTAACATCTTCAATTTATTATAAAAAATATATCACATGTATAGGTACTTTCCGTCACGTTTTACATAGATACTCAATAATGATTATTTATTTCTAGGACTACAACCACAAATGGATTCAGTGACGATAAAAATCATTTTTCAAATTCTCATCAGATCGAAATGAAAAATTTTAACAAAGCCAAGGAAGCCTTAAATGATTATGACCCCTTTCTTCATCGACAAGTTGATCATCCCACAACGTAAGTACCAGATGCAACGAAAACTTTAATTTAGTTTAAAATTATCAAATATGGATGCAAAAATATCTGTTATCTGCCCTCAAATAGGACATAAATGTAATACAATTTTGAAGAGTATGAAGCGTCAGTATGTATTTAAATAACATCTAACCTAACCTGGCCTAATCTAATTTAACCTTTTACACTCTCACATGTAATTATTTCCATACTGACTATTTTTTATTGATACCTTTTTTATATTAACCATTTTGATCAAAAAATACTAACCGGAAGATGATTTACATAGGTACAACTAAATAGGCCTTTACAAAATACTACTCAAAAAGCTAAAATTCTATNCGTCATCTCTTGGTTAGGCCGGAAACTTATCAATCCACCCTCGTATATCGGTTAAAAAACTGCATTTGACAGGGAGTACCTTCAGGCACACATTGTGCTGCTATATCTTTTATTTGTTTCGTTAACGACTCTATAAAATCAATTTCCAATGTTAAAGTAGTTCTCTACGCAGACGATGTAAAAACATACTGTCAAATTAAAGATAGAAATTATATTGAAATACCACAAATGGAGGTAAATAGTTTTAGCAATAGAAATGATATGGCTATAAATATTAACAAGTGCTATGCAATATGTCGTTTTAAAAGGGTAATCATGTGATTGAATCAGATTATTATATTAATGATATTATGTTCGAAAGTGTTAGCTCTGTTAATGGCCTAAGTGTTATATTTGATTCAAAATTAAAATTTGATGAACACAAAAACATAAGTCAATAATAGTGCAGCAAAATCATTATTTTTTATTAATAGACAATGTAGAGGTTTCAGGAATGCACTTTCTTGTATAAGATTGTACAATTCATATGTGGCGTCAAAACTATCATATGAATCATTAATTTGGTCACCAAATTTTGATAAATATAGGAAGAAGATAGAAACTACTCAGCATTGGTTCCTACAAATTTAAATAGATTCTCACATGCTTATAATGAAATAGTGTTGAAGGCTAATATGCCGCCAGGAAAGTCACTCAGAGAGATGAGTGAAGCTGTGTATTTCTGTTTAAAATTATCAGGGGCTACATTGATGTTCCCAAAACAGACTGAATTTCATAGAACCGATTCGATAATTGAGAAACCATGATTTACTAAAACCGAGTGGAAACACAATTGATAACATACTAATCCACAAATTGCCATAAAAGTAATCAGTGAATTGTATAAAATTATCTTGTGTTAGCTCTGTTAATGACCTAAGTGTTATATTTGATTCAAAAAAAAAAAAAAAAAAAAAAAAAAAAAAAAAAAAAAAAAAAAAAAAAAAAAAANTGAATTTGTATATCGGCCGAAAGAAAATATTGTCAAACATGAATAGTGTTAAGTTTTGAGAGTATGTATGTTCCTATACGCTGTATATCTTGATTAAGGACAATTTTTCCATAAATTTCTTAAATAAAAAAAATAAAACATTTGGATGCAAAAATATCTGTTATCTGCCCTCAAATAGGACATAAATGTAATAGAGTTTTAAGAGTTTGAAGCGTCAGTATGTATTAAAATAGCATCTAACCTAATCTAGCCTAACCTAACCTGGCCTAATCTAATTTAACCTTTTACACTCTCACATGTAATTATTTCCATACTGACTATTTTTTATTGATACCTTTTTTATATTAACCATTTTGATCAAAAAATACTAACCGGAAGATGATTTACATAGGTACAACTAAATAGGCCTTTACAAAATACTACTCAAAAAGCTAAAATTCTATAGATAGTATTTAAAATGTTAATTGCTTCGTTGAAACGGTTTTATCAAGGATTTTCAGATAACCAAATTTAGGGCATTCTGGTAGTAACGATTAGTGTACATTTTTTTTGAGAAAATGATTCTTGCTTCCTACTTTTAATTGGTACATAAAATGGTACTGTTAGGATGTTTAAATTTAACCAAATGTTTATGAAAACAGAAAGGTGGATGAAATTCCATTCTTTATAAATTCAAATAATATTTTTTGTGGTCTCAGAATGTCATTTTTCTGTATATTACCGCTTTAATTTATTCAGATAATAAAAAATTATCACATTACTTATATTTTCAATGGTTTCTCTTGATGGATGTGTAGTATGTATACCTCTATGAGGGTTGTTTCCAAAGTTCTGGGAAATGTACTATAATTAAATTACGCAGTACTTATAGGCAACGTTATTGGAGCCAAACAAGTCTTAACATGTTTATGCAAATATCTAGTGCAATATTGTTCAATCTGATTTACATGTTCGACTCATATAAACGCGTTGTCATAGTACTGTTTTTGTAACATTGGAAAACGCAGCAAAATCTCGAAGAGCAATAATTTCCTTTTTGTGGAAAGAAGGTGAGAAAACATCAGAAATTACTGATCTGCAAGGAGTATTTGGTGAGTCTATAGAATCCAAAAGCACTGTTTATCGGTGGATCAATCATTTTAAAATCGATAGAACATGAACAATGAAAGAAACATTACTGCCGTCGAAGACCTACTGAAAGAGGACAAGCGAATGATTATTCGTCAAATTAGTGTGTGCCTAGGGTAGGTACCTGACAGTTCCTGACATCTTGCATGTTTGTTTGGGCGTTGGGACCAAAACAGAAACTCAATAGGTCTACTGATATATGTCGTCAACTTCAAGTGCTGTTAGCCCGTTACGGTGATGAATTTTGGAATTTTGGCAACGAATAATAACCACTGACGAAACGTGGATTCCTTCTTTTAATCCTGAGATCAAAAGTCAATCCAAAGAATGGCGCAAGTCTGAAGAAGGGTTTCCACTGAAGGCGCGTGCAGTTCCGTCTGTTGTAAAGATAATGCTTAGTGTATTCTGGGATTGCCAAAGGATTATTTTTATGGATTATCTGGCGAAAGGTACTACAATTAACGCAGAATATTATTTAAATTTGATATCCGGACCACTGCGATAGACACTTGTCAAAAAACGGCCTGGATGCAACAGGATAATGCAAGACCACACAACGCAAGAAAAACGAAGGTTGTTTTGAATGATTTACGATGGGAATTGCTTCCGCACCCACCTTATTCCACGGATCTTGCCCCCAGTGTTTATCATCTGTTCCCAGATTTGAAAAACCCTTAGGGGATGTTCGATTTGAAAGTTTAAGTAATGTAAAACGTATCATAAATATTTGGATTGAGAAGACACCGAAAAAGTTTTTTAAGGTCAGCTTAAAAAAGTTACTTTATCGTTGGGATAAATGTATTCAGTTAAATGGAGATTATGGTGGAAAACTACGTTGTAATATTGACGAAAATTAACAAAATAATAAAAATCATAGCTAAATTCCCAGAACTTTGAAATGATTACTCGTACTATCTAAAACAACTTTTAGGAATTCTTTGTTTCAACCTGTTTTAAGTATTCTGAGGATTATATTCACTGTGATCACTTCACAGTATGCTCATTGTTGTTTTAAGAGAAGATTAAGGTATTAGGTATATAAGTCACTTATAAGTGTTTTATGAATAAAAGCACCATATATCGAACAAATATTTGTTATTCATACTTACGTGCATAACCTTCAGAAAATTCCGTGTTGTTTAGCAAAAATAACTGGAAAATTTTCCTTTCGTTTTAATTGTGTATTCGAATAACGATTTCCTCCAAAATCAATAGAGACAATGCTTCTTAATTGCTTACATTAGCTGAGTTGTAAAAAAACATTTAGACTGAAATAGCAGACAATTTTATAACCAATAGGGGCTAGACTCTTGGCGAAACATATTTTATTTTTAAACATTTACAAACACACTGTAAAATGTATAAAATTGTCAATTGCTCTAACTATTGTATCATCGTCAAAGAGTTATTAAACAGAAACCAAGTGTTATGTACTAAATTTTATCTTGAATTCATTAGCCCAACTAACTAAAAAGTATTTATTCTTTAAAATATTTCACGGCAAAGAGAACTTTCACGAATATTAACACAATTTCAAAATAAAAAGGAAATGTTTAGTACATTTTTCAATGTCAAACTACGTTTTAACTAATATCAAGTGGAATACCTTGAAAGCATACTTAATAAATGAACGTTATCACTGATTCTGCCATAAAACAAAGAAACTTTGGGAAATTTTTCTCTGAATCATCCTGATCTAAAGTCTCAATGACTACAAACCGTTATGTTGTCTTTTGGAGCGCGGAGCTGTACTAGTGCGAAACATGGACAGTGGGCGCGGCAGAAAAGAAAAGTTTAAAAGCTTTCGAAATGCGTTGTTAGGCAGCCCATACACCTACAATAATTTTGCACAATATTTTTATTGTGCAATAATATTGAATACCCCCTTTGAATCAAAACGTTCAATAATATTTATCAATAAGATTGACAAGCCATTCGCGTCAATATTTTCATGCGAGAAACATGTCTGACGACGAAGTTTTGGCTGCAGCCGTGCTAGTGGTGTTGTAAGTAAACAAATATGGGCCAAAGAATGATTTAAAAAAAGACCAGTCCACACTTACGAAAGTCTTTTAAAGGACTTAACATTAACTCAAGAAAACGATTTCAAAAACTATACGAGAATGGATATTGCAAAGTTCGAAGAATTGCTACAATTAGTAAAACCTTTGACTGAACTGATTTGCAACCGCTCCAAATAGTGAACTGAAAAATATTGCGCCATACTAACCCTATACACTGCGAGGAAAACATATTGCGCAATAAAATTTAAGCTCGCTCAAACTTCTGTTCAATCATTGCGCAATTTTTCAATACTATCCCTACACCGCTAATAATATTGTGCAATCATCTATATTGTGCAATATTATTGAAGGTGTAAGGGCCGCCTTACAGACTAGTGATGAGGATACCATGGATCGAAAAGGTTCGATATGAAGAGGTATTAGAAAGAATAGAACAGATAGATTAGATTACTGTTAGCAAATAGTTAAGGATGCGGGATGTTTTAGTTTTGGAGAAATGCGAAGATTAGCTCAGGATA